ATATAGAGTAAATTAATTTTAAKTTTAAATACTTTGTTCAAAAGACTATTTTTGGAAATTTTCAGATATAAGTAAATCTTAAATAATTTACTGTACTTGCACCTAACTTTCTWCATTTTTTTCATACGTTTTACTTATATATATATACATTTTTCATTTGGCAGGTCTTTCTGATACACCATGTCACCCTATGTCCTAACCGAGTATAGGTATATGAAAATAATTCAATATTCTAATGCAATCGTAATTTTCGTCTTCGACATTATATCGTATTGAGACAATTGAGTATAATATAATTCGCATCCTATCACGTGATGTATCTACGACTGTTATTATAATATARCTAAAAYTGTTATATGCAATTATATACGCTTACAAAAAAACAATGTTAACGAGATGGCATAATTATTATAATAATATTATACTATATTTTTATTATTATTTTAAGAGAATCAAAACACATCGATTTCATTTAATTACTAAGATAAAATATAATACGTTTTATACGTCATATTTATTTAGCCATATGGCTGAACAATTAATGAGAGCGACTGGTATGCGTTACGATTAGGTACAATGATAATTAATTATTAATTATACACAATATCAAAAATTATAAACATMATTTTATTGAGACTTCAAGCATCCTTATTATGTCACACAATAATATGTTATAATGTATTATAATATTATGTAACTTCATTCAAGCTGAATTGATAAGTGATACGATGGCTGCAGCACAGTGGCATAATTAAGGAGTGACGAGGGAGATAGATCCCCATCCCCCCCCCCAAAAAAAAAAACTTTTAATTTACTGCTAACATTTTATATTTGGTGGGGTAGATTACTGTATGAGGCTTAACTACAGATTTTACTAAAAACATATAATTCCCACCCCCTCAAAAAAAAAGACCAAATTCATAATTACGCTACTGCCGCATTAGGTTSCTGATCAGTGTTAAATGTTAAATTATTACAGTGATTTCATAATATCAACACAAAMTAGTATACCTTACATAATATTGACAAAGATGGTCTTTAACGCCGCAAGTTTAAATATAATTTAAGTTTAGTTAAAAAGTTAAGTGACTTTTAAATAAATACCCAACGAGTTAGGTATTTGTTTTTTTAATTATTTAATACCTACATCTWATTTACGAATYAAATAAATTGTATTCCATGTTATCTATAGTTATTAATCGGTTAATCAATTATAATAATTGTATATTTGTATATTATGTATAATTATTTAAGATAATCAAAACACAACGATTTCATTTAATGATTGGAATCAAATATTTTACCTACGTCACATATATTGAATAAAATAATTCAATAGGAGCCTATTGCCTGTAGTTGGTATGCGTTTAACTTTTAAAACGATTCCAACTTATTATTACTTATGCGCAATACGTAAAATTATTAATTTATCTCACCCAAACATAATAAATTAATTTCAAGTCTCTACTCTCTCTACATATTATCTTTATTAGACCCAACAGACATTGGTGCCGTAATCTCTTTAAAATTATAATCAAAACAATTTATTTAGCTTCAGTTAGTAGGATTCTATCATTGGCCTACATTTCAGTAATTTTTCTATCAGAACTCTAATTTTTCTGTTTTTGAATATTTATTTGATTTTTCGATTTTAATTGTTCTACTTTGTCATAAATTGTAAATTTACACTTAAAATTAATTAAATTTTCGATTAAAGTTCGATTGTTTTTTTGCTATTGATTTAAAGTAACTTTTAAAAGTTTAAAAAATGTAACAACTTAAATGTTCTATATTAATTTGACTTAATGAATTATAAAAAAATTATCAACTTCTCCAGCCTTGCAGATTGACCTTATAAATGTATAATTTATCTTTATTTTTTTATTTTTTTTTTTTTGGAAACAAAGATAATAATCAAAGGTTATAATCGAACAATAATTCAATCAACGAATATAAACTATTGAAATTTATGATAGTTTAACCATAAATTCCAATGTTTTTGTAAATTTTTTTTCTTTTAATTTCYTTGAAAACTATTTTGAGGGATTCCAATATAAATTACTCATTATTTATAATATAATAAAATACCGCATTTTGTATTCGATTTAACCTAGCCATAGTAGCCATATATATGTATTGCAGCGAATATTGTTAGTCCTCGATAATTAATGTTTCCGAGACCAAACGATAACTAATAACGTATAACAGAACAAGTTAAGCCTCTGCCTACATGTAATTCCCGATCATCGACTAAAACATATTATGATGATTATTAATTCATCATAAAACGAATTACGATTAAATACGTATATTTGATGTGGCTGCTGCTCTTTTCATGTATACATTACTTACAGTTCATATACAGTCACATTAAACCCAATGGTTTTCTTGTTTTCGTTTAAGCATCCATAAGCGAATCGATTAATGATGCTTCGCAGTTCACACTATGTTTGTTCGTATAAATTATGTAATTAATAGAGCAGCTGCAGTCGCATGTGTTAGATCACGGTTGCAAAATACCTACCGCATTACTGAAGATTACTGCAACGACTGCTGCAGCGCTGCGCCATCTTCTTGCTCAGTTTTTTTTTTTTTAATTTTTATGCATGTGTCTAAATTTTTTCATGTACTTATGCTTAATTATTTTCAATAGTGAAATTAAGTGCGTGTTTATTTATTCACTTTTATAGTATAAACTATAAAGACATTCTAACCCTACAGTTACGTGTACCAAAAAAATTAAAAATTAAAATGCCRATACGATGTATGCATAGAGTTAGGTACCTATWAATTGGACATTTCTTAAAAAAATAAAAACAGAGAAAGGCAAGTCTCAATGTTAATCTTATACCTAGTCAAATATAATATAGTACCTATAGAATAAAATAATAATAAGATTGATTAAAATGTACTATAATATTATATCGTTTATCTATTGGTCAACGATTAGACATGCATAAACACATTGCCTATCGATTAAACATTAAACGGTTTGATATTTTTTTTTCTCATAGCAAGACGATATGTTTTGACAACCACATCCTACTGTGAACAGTGTGAGCTTACTATTAAAGTCTATATTATGTTTTTTATTGCACCACCTAATATAATGTAACTAACGAGTATCTAACGTGTATACGTATCTATATATATGCGTGTCATGTGGCCTTGTTGTCATGCCTATAATAATATAACTACACAATGATAATAATAATAATGTGTAATTTTTACTTCACTAAACGTTTATTCTCGGCCGTATAATATTCTATATATTTAAATACTTCTCCACCGAATCGTGAATCATATCAATGGTGTTATATATATATCACAACAAAGGTATAGGCGTCCGCAGAAATTTGTCCAGGAGAGTAGAGGCAAGTTTGTTAATACACAATAATACATAAAATATAATTTTAATCATTAACTTGGCTTGACATGTTTTTTCATATATTTATAATAGTGACAGTTTAAGTATAACGATTTTAAATTTATTGTATAGTAATTTAACATAATGCTCTCAGTTAAAAAAAAAAAATCCAGAAAGAAAAATGCCCTTTGGCATAAAGCAGAGCTTGAAATTGATTTTAAATATTTAAGTCCTAAAAAATAATTGAAGCAATTAAAAGAATAATAAAAAAAGCTGAAAAATAGAAATCGTTTATATTTAATTTAAAATAATAATTTTATAGTTTTTATACAMAGATTGATTTAAAATTTAAGAAAAAAACAATACAATTTAATACTCAACAGTCAACAATAGSTGAAAAAACAATAATATAAATAATAAATAATATCAGTAGTTAATAATTAATAAGTTATAACTTATAACTAATATTTTGTTTTCTCGGATCTAATATTCATACCCTCGCGTAACAATGAATATGTGGAACACTCGAACGGCGACAAGAATTGTGTTGATACTTTTTTGTCTTTATTAGTCTTTTGTTAAGTTATTTGTCCTGTCACAACTTTTGTGAATTTCAAAGCATTTGCGTCAAAATTAATTGAAATACAAAAAATACTGGTAATAGGCTTTTATAAACTTAATTGTGTAGTATCTATAAATAGTCCTCATCTCATCAGTGATTTTGTGTAGGAATGTACCGCGATCAGATTAAATTCAATGATTCTTTGTCGAAATTCCATCACATTCACATAAGTAAGAAGTTTTAACTATTTGTTATTCTCTTCATTCACACCATATCTCATATTGCAGCAGATTTCATGAATATTATATCAATATTCAAGTGCGCTTGGTGCGCAAAGTGCAACAGCTTTTATCATGATAAAAACTTTTCATTTAACCTCTTATTCATTTAGGTGCGATTAATGATCCAATAATTGTCTTTTAATGTGTTTAAACTGGAAAATGAGTAATAAGCTATATAATAATGTTAAGTATTATTACCATAAACAAGTGATGGAATGTGCAAGAATTTATTTGAGTCGGGCATACCATATAGGCAACTTAAAATACTTCAATATTTGGTCGTTCAGACGAATGCGTAATTATTGTTCGAAATATATTCAGGTCTCAGGTGTTTGTAGTTTTGTACGCTAATATACAATAAAACATAATATACATTGATTCATAATATGCACTGAATAGATATAAAATACGCTGCGTAAATRTGTTATTATTATTGTCAAATGTGCATCAATAAGGAAATAAAAATCAAAAATTCTTAATTTTTTCAAAAATTGCAGTCAAATATCATGCAAAATATACATTTTATTTCTGATTATTACATAATATTATAAAAACATAATAATATTATATTTTTTAATTTAACTTTTCATATATTAATATTAAATAAAAAATATTTATTGAATCTATAATATTATGTAGTATTATACGGTCCAAAACATAGGCGGTTGTGAGAATGCGCGAATACAATTTATTTTAAAATCACACGAATTCTTTGTTTAAAACATCGACTTATCTACATTGTTATTATATTATGCACCATCGATGTTTTGTGTGTTTCCGGTTAACGCAGTTCAGCGGAGGAGGAACGAGAAGAATTCGCGAAAGTACGACGCCGACTCGCTGCCCAGCTACACGATTGTCACTGGATTGCCCACGTACGACGAAGCTGTGGAGCGCATGAAGGGCGGCAACAACTACGGCGGTGGCGCCACGTCCATCCGAGACAACAAGCCGCCGTCCTCCAAGCACGTGTCCGTGTCTGTGGTTCGCATCAAGGACGACGTTCCGACCCCGCCGAAGCCCGACCCCAAGTTCGGACTGGTGTCGCACAGCCTGTTCGTGCACGACGACGGGTGCAGCCACTGCCTGTCCGTCCAGGAGCTGTTGGAGACCTACAACGTGCGATAGGCCTGCTGCACGTCCACCTGCCMCCCTCTTGCTCTCCACCCAACACACCCAACCCCTCCACGCCCGTCGCGCCGCCCGACGTAACGATTTATTTGAATATCATTATATAACTATTGTTATTGTGGTTCGACATATTGTAGAGAAAATGTCACGCGATGTGATGACKTGGTAGACTGGTAGACGCGTGACGTACGAGTGCTGCAGTCGCCTACGATTTTCTGCACGGTTCGCACGCCTAATATAGAGTACAAGTGTAATAATATATCATATAGGTTTATTTTAGTCGAGTCATAATAACTAGTATACCATATGATCAATAAGCCGTGTCCTGCAGACTTGTGTAAAGTCGATGATAATATTATATTATGATGTAAAAACGCGAACCGCACGTAAATATAACGGCGCCGGCCACAACGACACATAATATTATATTGTTTTATAATGTAATATCGTTATCATGCGTTCCGGCGAGATTCCTCTTTCCGGCGTGCGATGTACTTTATTCGTTGAACGGACTTTTCCCCTCCCGATAAGGTCGGATAACCATCACAAAATAGACTGGCTGCAGCGGTATAGTTGTCCGCATATAGGTCTCGCATAGGTTGCCGTTTCGCCGAGCATCCGATATTCTCATTCGGAAATAAGTGTTCCGACGGATCATAGCCCGATCGGTTCCCGTTTGAATTTAACATGTCTGGACACTTTACAGGTCAAGTCTGATCGAAGCTATATAGTGAAATTCTGTATAGTCAAGCATGTCGCAAATTTTCTTCGCATCGTCTTCAAAATAACATTAATTAACATCTTTTCTTTTCTTTTTTCATCAAAATACTGGTAAATATGAAAATTTATATTTATTATTGACTTTAAAAATCATCAATATTATAGCTTCAAATTAAACTAAAAACTCCAAACGGAAATATACAAATCATGGACTGATTTGGCTCGTGAGATGAAAGAAGTAGGTAATTAGATGCCATATGGAAACCAATAATGAATCGACCAACACCCATCAGAAACACAACGATATAATATGACAAACAATAAGATATTGACCAGTGGGTTCTGACTAATAAAGAGCTCTGCGTCGTCACCCACTGAATAAGATAGGTACTTAAAATCAAAGATCAGTTTGTCRCTCCTTTAAAGTTTACTAGTAATATCAATAATTATCAGTTATTATAATACGTGAATAGAAAGAAACCTGTTTAATGGTAACACAATTTTTAAAACTTTATTAGTTGTAAAAATATTAAACAAATTCTTTGTTTTTTTAATAAAATATTATACTTTTGTTTTACTATTCCGTCACTAATGCATCTGGACTCACAAACTTACATCAAAATTCGTCAGAACCCTCTGTGAACGCACTTAGTTTGYCATAGAATTTGTTGGTAGCACACGATTGTCCGTATTCTTCTTCGAATGATGTTCAAGCAATTGTTGGCTATTGATTGATCATCGATTTTTAATAAGCAATGTTTTTCATTTTCATAAACGCAAGTACGCAACACGTTTTCACAAAGAATCGTAATTAATAATATTTGTTGGCAACATCCGTATCAACGCGAAATGCTATCGATGAGTTATATTATAACACATTTTAAAATAATATTTCACTAGATTCTGAACATTAATTTTATACATCAGCTGTATAATAATATCATATTTAAATGAATGTCTTTAAGTGCGCGTTTATTCAGCGTGTCAGATCCTATATATGTGTAAATTAGTGTAATAGTATAATTCATAATGATTTTTAAAAGCATAAATGATAATGACATACATAAAAATGTAAACGGAAATKATCGTACGAGTATTTTTAAAGTTAACTTTAGTCACCTCAATAGCGCACTTGCAGGTTGCAGGGTCTCAACCTCTTGCCCCCATGTTCACCCAACTTGTAAACTACCATATCACTTCCAGTACCACGATACGAGATTCAAAAATAGTATGTGCACAACTTACTATTGTCGACATTTTAGTTTGAAAATCAAATGAAACTATTTCGACCAAGCTTTTATTGGAAAACTTTAGACGATTGTATACACCCCTCCTATAACGCAGTTGCACCGACTGCAACTCTCCATAGCCGTTATTAATATATACATAGATGCAAAGGTATTTCACTGTTTTATATTTCCTAAGCCTATTTATATATTGTTATGATATAGTTGTACCTAAGTGGCGTTTTAAAATTGTATGCATTAGTTCGCACCAGTCTTTTGAGTTTAAATTAAATAACACACGAACCTCGTTGACAATCAAAAACAAATTGTCTTTCGGTCAAATCGTGTACAGAAATTATATTAAAGATAGTCGCACACCGTTACAATTAGCAGAATACAATATATTATTCTTGTTGTATTACCTATGTCTTATATATATATAGCTTGTAGTGTAGAGTTTTATTTATTTYAATTATTTAATTATTTTTTTATTATTATTWTTTTTTTGACTGCCATCATGTAAACTATTATATGAATATATTATATAAATATAATAATTATTAAATGTAATATGTATTTTAATGTCAGCCGATAGAATTTCGCTTTTAACTAGCTATAATAATATAAAGTCATTTGATTAAGAGCCAACTGTGTGTTTCATTTTTAAATTATTATATGAATAAACATAATATAAACAAATTTGATTGCGTAATTTTTCGTCGAACCTTTTACCTACCTACMATCTACCGACCTGCCTACCTAAATAATAACAATAAATAATAAATTAGTCATCAGGATTTATGATGAATGGATACAAAAAGCAAGTTAAGTCAAAATATATATAGACAGAACATGTCGTCATAAGTTGATATTTTTTTGGTACAATTTTTTTTATAGTTAATTTCTTTATCGTCAAAACATGAACTAGCCAGACTAATGTCGTTTGCTTTTTAGACATTAAATCATAAAAATAAGTATCTCTGTTTTTTCTGTTTGTATGAACTTGTAAAGTTTAATAGCCGTGACGTGTATATACGAATATGATTTCAAACTACAGTAGGTACTCTTATCCCCAATTCCAAAGTATTTTTTGGTTTAAAAGCTATAAACTTTTGTTACTTGTTCACCTAATTTTAATTAAATAACACTGTTATTAAATGTACCTAAATCATTAATTAGGTAGGTATATTATTGTTTATTTAAGTTGATTTTCATTCATAAAATATAATATGTAGGTAATAACATTATGTTACAGGAAATGTGAACTCTTTTAAAAAATATTTATATAATATATTTTAGAATGTTATAGACATTCCTGTTCATGTTAATAAACTATGTTGTTGAGTTGTGTACAAATTTAATTTATTTTACTTTTTCAATTCGCACTAACTGTATAGCACGCTATTTCAATCATTTTTTCGTTACTTTAAAATAATGAAAATCACGTTACGTAATAACGCGTTTCWAACAAAGTAACGTTGTAAACCCTATATGTTACTATCGTAGTCAGGCGCTGATTTACGCAAATGCAGATGCAGCACTCCATCACAGATCTCCGTAAATTGTAAAAAATTTTCTGTATTAAAATTTTTTTTTWAATTAATTATAATTCCCATAGACCTTATACTAGTATAAGTCATTCCACACCTCAATACAACATATTAAAATAATAATAATAGAAAATTGTTYRAACATCGGAAATATTTGATACATAATAAGTAATAACTATTTATAGATTTCTTCCAGCCCAGTATTTACTGATTAACCCGTCGTTGGTGACGCATTTCGCTCCCACAGTTACCATTTTTAGAACCATTGGTTTAGGTTATTCAGTTATCCCATGGAAATGAATAGCGAAAAACATTAATTAAATGTTATAATTATAAATAAACTAATATAGTTATTGTTGTCAAATGTTGTCGTACATGTTAGCGTTGTGCCCGCACGTCACTGATCGCTTTAACATATATTGTTTATTTTATGACAATATTATTATCTTGTTATTTTATTATTAAGAATATTATGCTTTAGCCGTTATTTCATATTTTCATAATTGTATAATTGTCAGTACCGTGGTTTATAAATTTGTACGCTCGTCGCTCACACGAGTTACACCTGTATTTGAATAGGTGTCAGGTGAGCGTTAATGTGATAATTTATAATATTCGAAACTTCTTTTTTTAAATATTCATGAATATTATTTAGACTTTTAAATATAATTGTTTTGAAAGTTTAATAGGCAATAACTAATATGTCGTGGCAGTATTTRAGCGGGGCGGTTAAACGAAAACTTAAATAAGGAAAATAAGAACAAAAAAAAGCTTTCGGGGTCTATGGATCGATTCTTTAATAAAATACTAGTTTTGACTTGTGGTGGTGGGGGTAAAGTGTAGGGGGCCTCCAAAAAAATTGTGCACTTGGCCCTAATTTTATTAAATCAGGGCCTGATCGTAGTATCGTTATATGTTAATATCCAACACGGAAAAAAAATAGAATATTTATAAAAAGTAGGTAACAAAACACAGGGAAAAGAATCTAAAATCTCGAKCCTCGTCCAACTATGTCAGACGCAGCTGCAGTAAATGGATTTCAAATTATGGTTCAGGTAAGGTATAGTATCKGACGAAGTATAGTATTTGATATTTTCGGTTGGTCAAAATTAAAAATTCTCATTACATTTCTTGATAATATATGAAATAAAATGTTCATTATTTATCATTGAATTTAAATATGATATGCATCATACAATTACTCATTGATGAGGTAAACTCGAAACCTACAACTGTACAACAGAGCACTTACCTTTTTCCCATTTATTATCGTCATTCTGAAAATTCATTATTTTGACACTTAAAAAAGACATATCTGATATTATCCACAGGACAGCAACCACCTAAGTGTAATATAATATTATTATGTCACATTCATATCACTTTATTATACATTACGTGAAATTGACAACAATATATACCTCTATATTTTACGGAACGAACATCAATTTTTCCACTTCACGAGATTAATAATACCACACAATATGGATACCATTTCACAAAATGGATAYCTGATGGATA